TATATATATATATATTGTACTCTCAAACCAACCAGAATCTGGTAAAATGTATCTTGTTTCTTGCTCTATGGGATCACCAAAAACGCTCAGAAATTTTTTCCACAGCGCTTTGGTAATAATTTAGTTAAAATTAACGATAAAATATGGTCTTATAATATGTGATAAAATTTTAGCATGATTACATAGGGCATGGCCTAAAAACCATTAATTCGGTTAAATTTACTTTTCAGTTATGCATTTTTTACTAAATGTGTGGTAATAAGAACTAAAATTATGGAAACTAGAATTTCGGGTAAAACATTAATCATATAAATGAAAAAATTACCAAAAAAATGGCTTAAATACCGTATATTTTGGTTTTATTTTCCAGAAAAGTACGATAATTTTAACCAGTTTTTTTTCCGAGTAAATTTTAATATCGTTTCAAAAATTGATGAAAATTTTGGTTCATTGAATGCGGCTATTATTAATAATCGTTCTTTATAGTTTTTAGTTTTGGATTAATCAAGGGAAGTGAGGGTCATTCCCCGTTTCCTCTTACACTGATATTTTCTAAGGTTACGTGTCACTGTAGGCGCAAAACTTTAATTTCAATTCTCGATGTATTGCTAAAAATGAAAAATAAAAATGCTGCATTTTCGAATGCTACCCTCTACTTCATTTGTTTCTTAAAATTTAAATAATCCGTCAAGTAAATTTTGAACATTTAATGTAATAGCTTAAAATAATCTGTCAATTTGTATACCATAGAACTGGAGAAATTTTTTCATGATATAATTAAATCTTTCTTTGTTTTGCACATTCAAGGTTAAAATTTGGCGGGATTCAGCACTTTAAACATAATAGTTATCAACATGAATATTTATTTTTCAGAATATAAAAGGCTGAAATTTCGAAAAATATAGGTTCAGGTAAAAAAAGAAACATTTGATTTTTATTTGTTAAGATTCAACTTGATAAATAATATTTTGCTAAAAAGATAATAAATAAAATAAAAAACTATTGCAAAAACTTGTAAAATGAACAATTAAAACAACGTTCCAGCATAATAGTGTATTAACATATTTTAACCAATAGCGTACTGCTGAACATAGTGAATTGAATAAGCACGCAATGAGTACATAAATTTTTATATGCGCATATGCTAAAAATATATATATAAAACATGTTTAAAAAATATTATATTTTGTCTTAGTCACTCGGCATGTAATAGTTAGCACAGGTGTCGTTAAAATCGATGATGTACGATATGACTTGGGTTAAAAGTTTCTGTTTAGCATGCATTTAATGTATATTATTACCTACTTCGGTTAGAGGCTCTTCATTGCTTTCTTATTATTATTAATAGCTTCTTTTCAGGGGATCAGTTGGTGGAGACTTTAATATTTTTTCATTTATTTTTGGCTCAAATGAGAACTTTGATACTAATACCAAGTCAAAGGATAGGTGTCGAAATTTCGAAAAACATGTACATATACTAAGAAATATTTATAAAACATTTTTAAAAAATATTTTATTTTGTCTTTGTCACTACATAGTTAGCACAAGTGTCTCTTAAAATGAATAATGTTGCAAATAACATATGAGGCTGTTTGAAAATTCTGTATTGCCTACATTTAATGTATATTATCGTCTACTTCAGTTAGAGGCATTCCTCTCCATTGCTTTCTAATTATTTTTAATAACTGGTTTTGAGCGGATCATTTGATGGACATTTTATGAATTTTTTACAATTTTTTGGTTCAAATGAGAACTTTGATATCAATACTATGTCAAAGGATGGGTGTCAAAATTTCGAAAAACATATACATTTGGTAAGAAATATTTATAAAACATTTATTAAAAATTTTTTATTTTGTCCTTGTCACTCTTTATAGTTAGCACAGGTGTCGCTATAATCGATGTTAAAGCAAAATACGATATGAGACGGATGAAAAAATTCTGTATAGCCTACATACACTCATGTCCATAAATTAAGGATAAATGAAGTTCAGGCACAGAAAGAGACAGAAGCCAAACAAATTTGACTTATTTGTTAAGTCTATGTATTAAACAAAAGGTAAAGAGAAAAAAAGATGCTATATGTTTGACATAATTAATAAAAATTGCGATTTTTACTCCCTGGAGCAAATTTCAAAAAAGAACCTATTTACAAAAAACAGTATAACATGGTTAGTATGATGGTTAATACGGAGTATGTCTCCCCGACGATGCAATACAGGCCGTACAACGCCTAGGCATGCTGATTATCAAATTATCAATCTGATCTTGTGGAATATTACACCACTCATCAAGCAGTGCCCTCCGAAAATCCGGTAGACAGGTGGGAGGGGGTTGACGGGCTGCAATTCGTCGGCCAAGCATATTTTACACATGCTCTATTGGATTCAAGTCCGGTGAGTATGCTGGCCAATCCATACGGGTGATATCCTCCGATTGAAGGCATTCGTCTACAATGTTTGCACGGTGAGGACGGGCGTTGTCGTCCATGAACGAAAATTCAGCACCCATGGCGCCCCGAAACAAACGTACATGTTGTTCCAGAATGACATCCCCATAGATGTGGCCTGTCATCGTTACACTCTGAACATGCAGGTCAGTTCTGGAACCAAGAATAATTCCTCCCCAAACGAGCCATCCTGCACCTCCGTAACGGTGTCGTTCAATGGTGTTGTCTTGGTGGTAACGGGTACCTGGCGCTCTCCATATGAAAGTCCGGCGAGAATCAGACTGGAAACTAAACCTGGACTCGTCGGAAAACATCACACAAGACCACTGTTGCGGTGTCCACAATGCAAGCTCTCTACTCCAGGCTAATCGCAGGCGACAGTGAGTTGCGGTAAGTGGAACACCGAGCATATAGACCAATGTGCCCTAAGCGTCTGTACACGGACTGCCTTGAAACTGTCGTAATGGTAGCTGAAGAGAGCTGACGAGACAGGTCTGATGCTGTGCTCCGTCTGTTTCTTTTGGCAGTAACTGCCAAATACCGGTCTTCATTCGGTGTCGAGAAACTGCGATGAACAATCTAACTTTAAAATTTTAACTGTAACTGTAGCGAGGCGGAAGTTTTGTAAACAGAAGGGGAATGATCGCCTCAGAGAGAAGAGGTTGATATGTAATGCTCTTTTCAAAAAAGCTTAATGTTTCGTTTTCAATTATGTTTCTTGTTACGTTTTGTGTTAAATATTAAATGTTTTAAAAAGAAATAGTTAATTCCTTTAATGGCAGAACTTGTTACTTTTTATTATTGACATCTTTTTATTTTTACAAGAGTAGCGATCCTTTTTAAAGCGAAAGAAAAGCTTTCCATCTTCTCACCGGGAAAATTGAAGAACAACAGAAATTGCAGGTAAGGTAATTTTACCTTTACCTTTAATTAAGAATTATTATTGAATTTGTTTGAGTTGATTGATAAATAATTTTTTACATGGCATCCCCGCTGGGACTGAGAAGACCGATTAGTTTTTCTTAAAAGATCGTGTATTTATCGAATTGATATATAATTTAAAAAGATGTCGGCAGATGAGAAAATTAAACAGTTAAAAAGAAAACGAGGTTCCTTAAGAACAAGCGTAACAAATACACTGACTAAATTAGATGCAGAACTTTCGAAAACGGAAGATATAAATGTCAGTGTAATCGAAGAAATAATCGAAACATTAACAAACAAATTTGATTCTTTGAGTTCTGTTGATAAAGAACTAGAACCACTCTTCAACGATGATGAATATCAATCAGAATTTGAAAAAACAGAAGAGTATCAAGATAAGGTAGTTATTTCTAAACTAAGAGCAAAAAAGAAAATAAATGAAATGCAAACGTCAGTAAAGAGTATGGAAAGCGAAAATATAACCTTACAACGTTCAATAAATAAAACAGAAATAAACGAATCAGCAGCAGAAAAGGTGCGCATTCAACTCCCGAAACTGAGTATCGCGAAATTTTATGGTGATGTCAGCCAATGGCTAACCTTTTGGAATAGTTTTGAAACAGCGATACACAATAATGAATTATTAGATAAAGTGGACAAATTTAACTATTTGAAGGCGCATTTAGGTGGGTCTGCTTTAAATACGGTTGAGGGTTTTTCAATTTCAAACGCATCATATGATTCCGCAATTGAATTATTAAAAGATAGATTTGCTAAGAAAGATTTACTTATTCACACACATATGAGCGCTATTTTAAATATGCAACCGTTGAAAAGTTCAAACGATATTCGCGCGTTTAGAAAATTTTATGATAATTGCATGACACATATACGCAGTTTAGAATCATTAGAATTAAAACCGGAAAATTATGGAAGTGTATTGTGTCCTATGTTGCTTAAAATATTACCCCCAGATTTAGTATTAGAGTATAATAAAATCGAAAATGAAAATGTATATTCAGATATAAAAGAGCTTTTAAATTTTCTTTCGAAAGCATTAAGTTGTAGAGAACGCTCAATTCAGATGAGTGCAGTAAGTGACCTTGGAAATAAATATCAAGTGGATCGGAGAAATCCGAGACACATCAGTCGGCACCATAATGAAGAAATAAATTTCTCCCCCTCTAGTAGAAAGTTAAATATTCAATCACGTGAAAATGAGAAGCCGAAATATACGGCAACAGATTTATTGAGCTCTGAGATGAAACAGAACAGGAATAAAAAATCTTTCTGCGTTTTTTGTGAGGAACCGCATGATTCAGCGAGTTGTAAATTAGCAATGAGTTTATCGTTAGAAGAAAAAAAGAATATTTTGAAAAAAAGACGAGCTTGCTTTCGCTGTTTAATTATGAATCATAGGGCGGATCAGTGTTATTCAAAAATTGTTTGCACATTTTGTTCGAAGCGCCATGCATCAATAATGTGTTATTTAAATCATGATTTAAAAGGGAATGAATCCGATAATTCTGATAATAGTAATAAACTTGTTGAAAGTAGTGTTTTAACTAATAATTGTTGTTCTAATGAAGTTTATTTACAAACTTTAATTGTATATGTTCATGGTCAGAATTCTAAAAATTTAGTAAGAATAATTATTGATTTGGGTAGTCAAAGATCATATTGTAGTAAATTTATTGCTAAAACAATGGGTTTAAATTGCATTGGGGAGGAAACTGTCACCCACGGACTTTTTGGAGGTATTGAAAATACTGAACAACATAAGCGGTATAGTGTTAAGCTAACTAGCCTGGATGAGAAATTCAGCTGTGAATTTGACGTGATGGATCAGAAGCAGATTTGTGCTCCTATTCCTAAAATAAGTGATTCCAACTGTAAACGTGAATTAAAAGGTATGGGTATTTTTGCAAGTGATATCGAATTAAAAGGGAATTCTTGTTTGTATGAAAAAAACCCAAATGAAATTCACATACTTATTGGGGCAGATCTTGCAAGTATCTTGCTAACGGGGAATATTAAACATCTATCAGGAGGGTTAGTAGCTGCGAATACGCGTCTTGGGTGGACAGTGCTGGGAAAATCTGTACGAGAAAACGCATTTAATACTCCTCAGTTATTATTAACTTTACATGTAGATTATGCTAAAATATCGGATCTCTGGGAGTTAGATTCTTTAGGAATTCACGATATGAGTGAAAAACAAACAAAAACAGAAACACAAGAAATTGTTCTAAAGCATTTCCAAGAAACATTAACCAGAGATCAAAGCGGTAGGTATCAGGTTTGTTTACCTTGGTTGGAGGGTCGTGTAACATTGTCGGATCATAAAGAATTGGCCAAGAAAAGGCTTAGCAATACCGTGCAATCGCTTAATTCTAGTAATATGTTAAAGGCGTATCAAGATGTATTTGATGAGTGGGAAAAAGAAGGCATTATAGAGCAGGTTTTGTCAGATCATAACAACATAAATAAAGCAGAGACCACTGAGCACTTCTTACCTCATAGACCAGTCATCAAAGAGAATTCAACGACTAAAATTCGTCCCGTGTTTGATGGGTCAGCTAAAACTCGTAATTCTTTATCGTTAAATGAGTGTATTGAAAAAGGGCCAAATTTGATAGAGCTAATACCATCAGTTTTAAATCGTTTTAGATGGGGTAAAATCGGTGTTATAGCCGATATTCGCAAAGCCTTTTTACAAATAAGCCTGCAAGAAAGTGATAGGAATTTTTTGAAGTTTTTATGGTGGAGAGACGGTGACCCTCGCAAATTAATTACTTACAGGCACTGTCGCGTTGTTTTTGGTGTTTCGTGCAGCCCTTTTCTGCTAGCTGCCGTTTTAAACCACCATTTGGAAAACGTACCAGAAAACTTAAAGCATTTGGCTAAGAAACTAAAAGACTCCATGTACGTGGACAATTGTGTAGCAAGTGTTGATTCTGTTGCAGAACTAGAATATTTTCGATCAGAATCTCAAAAACTGCTAGCATCTGCAAAATTTGACTTGCGTGGCTGGATACATAATGCACACACTTCAGAGAATAAAGTTGAGGAAAATTTACAGATTGCGAATTCCGAAAACTTTAAAGTCCCAGTTTTAGGGCTTTTGTGGAACTTTAAGAACGATACGTTGTCTTGCGATATTAACGATATCAGTATCGATGATAAAAGCATAACTAAGAGAAAAATATTATCATTGGCACATAAGATATTTGACCCTATTGGGTTCACGTGCCCAGTGACTCTAATACCGAAACTACTTCTCCAAGATTGTTGGAAAGCTCAAGTCTCTTGGGATGCTGAACTGCCGAAAGATATCGTTCAAAAGTTTAATAATTGGAGAAACCAAATCTCAGATTTGAAAGACATTGAAATTCCTCGAAATTACTCATGCTTGGATTTGAATGACGCAAAATTGACTTTGCATGTTTTTTGCGACGCATCCAAACTTTCTTATGCTACTGGAATTTTCTTGAGAGCAGAACGGGGAAATGAAGTGACTTGTCAGTTACTACAAGCTAGATCACGAGTGGCACCATTAAAGAATGTGTCTATCCCGAGATTGGAATTACTCGCCTGTAACATCGGAGTGAGACTAGCAACATCTGTAAAAAATGATCTGAACTTGAAGGATATCCAGACATTTTATTGGTCTGATTCCATGGACGCATTGTATTGGATAAAGAAAGAAGGTCCATGGGTTGTATTTGTGACCAATAGGGTAAAAGAAATAAGAGCTTTGTCCCAAGTTAGTGAATGGAATTATGTTCCAGGAATTCAAAACCCGGCCGATTTACCTTCTAGGGGGTGTTCGGTGAAGACGCTTATCAAGGGAAAATGGTGGCAGGGGCCACCATGGCTGAAAGACTCTAGAGACCGCTGGCCTAATTACAAATTGATTCCAGATGAAAAGGTGATAAACTCTGAGAAGAAGAAAATTGTCGTGTCTTCCTTGAATAAAGAAAATGACGAATACTATCATCGCATTTCTTCGTACAAAAGAATAATAAGAATCACCGGTTGGATTTTAAGATTTTCCAGAAATGCTAAGACGCCTAGTGATAAAAGATCTGGACAACTATGTGCTGAGGAACTGAAGAAGGCCGAGCTGAAAATTCTAAAGAAAGTCCAGGATGAAGAATTCTTTGGAGGAACAGAAAACCAATTGAAGTCTCTAAAAATTATAACAGACAATGATGGTCTCCTAAGGGTTAAAACCAAAGTTTTCATGAGAATAGATGAAGAGGATTTTAGACTTCCACTACTTTTACCATCAAATCATCACGTGGTAAAAAGTCTAATAATCAGTAAACATCAAGAGTTAGGACATGCCGGAGTACCATTTTTAATGACTGCCTTAAGAGAAAATTATTGGATCTTAAAGAGTAGAAGAACCATAAAGAAAGCCATAAAGATGTGCGTTGTATGCCAAAGGTTCAATTCAAGACCAGCTAGTATTCCTGAAGGACCATTACCGGAAGATCGAGTAAAGGAAGCGTCTGTTTTTGAGATAATTGGTTTAGATGTGGCAGGTCCTTTGTACCTTAAAGAAAGACAAAAGGTGTGGATACTTCTAATAACATGTGCTATCTACCGAGCAGTTCATTTGGAACTTTTGACTGCATTATCCACTGACAACTTCTTATTGGCTCTAAGAAGGTTCATTTCACGACGCGGAAGACCTTCGAAGATCTATTCGGATAATGGGACTAACTTCGTCGGATTTGAAAAACTGCTGAGAAATGTTGATCTCGAGAGATTGAAAGGTGAAATCGCTCCCATCACTTGGAAATTTATACCACCTTCAGCTCCATGGTGGGGTGGTTTCTGGGAACGTTTAGTAGGTCTTATGAAGCAGATTTTGAGAAAAGTGCTGGGAAGAACTTCGCTAAGTTATGAGGAAATGGCTACTGTTTTGTGCGAATGTGAGTGTCTTCTCAATTCAAGACCACTTACCCATGTTTCTGATGATGCAAATGACTTGAATCCAATTACACCAGCAATGTTTTTGCAAGAAAACAAAAGTAATGATGTTACAGATCTTGACCAATGCAGCCAAACAGATGGAAAAAGTTTAAATAAACGTTTGGCATACCGGTTAAGAATTTTAAAAGATCTACGTTCGAGATTTCGTGTGGATTACCTAGGACAACTACGAGAAAGTTACAGAAAGAAAAATAACGTCCCTGTTCCTAAAGTAGGTGACATAGTACTCGTATGGAGTGACAACATCAAGAGACTTAACTGGCCGATGGCACGAATTTTGGAAACATATCCCAGTCAAGATGGACTTGTTCGTTTAGCGAAAATAAAGACAAAATCTGGTGTCTTTATTCGCCCTGTTCAGAAACTGTGCCCTATGGAACTGGATAGTTGTGATGTTATTGCCAATAATACTCCGAATGATTGTGTCAACCCTAACCCTTCAGTGACTGATAACTGCAGAAAAACTGATTCTGTGACCACTCGAGCTGGTAGGGTTGTGAGAGTGCCTCAACGTTTTAGACAGTAATATTTTGAGTTTCAGTGATCGACATCTCTAAAACTCAAGAGGGGAGTGTTGAGAAACTGTGATGAACAATCTAACTTTAAAATTTTAACTGTAACTGTAGCGAGGCGGAAGTTTTGTAAACAGAAGGGGAATGATCGCCTCGAAGAGGTTGATATGTTATGCTCATTTCAAAAAAAGCTTAATGTTTCGTTTTCAATTATGTTTCTTGTTATGTTTTGTGTTAAATATTAAATGTTTTAAAAAGAAATAGTTAATTCCTTTAATGGCAGAACTTGTTACTTTTTATTATTGACATCTTTTTATTTTTACAAGAGTAGCGATCCTTTTTAAAGCGAAAGAAAAGCTTTCCATCTTCTCACCCGGAAAATTGAAGAACAACATAAATTGCAGGTAAGGTAATTTTGCCTTTACCTTTAATTAAGAATTATTATTGAATTTATTTTGAGTTGATTGATAAATAATTTTTTACATTCGGCGTTGTAACTCGGGGGCGACCTGTGCTGTAACGTCAACTCACATTACCATCATCTTGGAATCGTTGCCAAAGCCTGGAGATGACACTCTGGGTGATTCCAAGTTCCTCGGATACTTCCAGCTGGGTACGTCCACATTCCAGTCGTCCGATGATTCTGCCACGTAAAAAATCACCCAAATGCTTCCTTTGTGCCATAACTATGCGGTTATTGCACTGAAAGGCTGTTAAAGCGCTTGTGAACAATTTTACTTCTTTGCCACCATTCCTTATATACCCCTCTCTTACACTCTCGTCATTGTGACGTACTACCAGCGTGATCTAGTGGTTTCCTGTAATTTGCATATTCTTCTTCAGGATGTGTGTGATAATTCTACAGGTGAAATTTTAATTTTAGAGTTAAATTTCCGTGTGATTCTGAATTATCCTTAATTTATGGACAGGAGTGTATTTTGCATACTATTGTCTACTTCGGCTATTGACATTCCTCTCCATTGCTTTCGAATTACTATTAATAGCTTTCTTTTGATTTTATCATTTGGTGGACACTTTAACAATTTCTTATAATTTTTTGTTTCCAATTAGAACTTTGATACTAATACAAAGTCAAAGGATAGGTGCTAAAATTTCTAAAAACAGTAAATGTCATTTGATATCATTGGTTTATCTCAAAGGTTGTGAAAATTAGATTAAATATATTAAAAAAACGAGTGAAAAATCAAAAAATTCGTTGATCTGCCTTACAATAGCACTAAAAAGCTTCCATTTCTTAACAACAATAAATGAATAGTGCGCTAAATAAAAAGCAAACCACTTTTAATAACTTTCAATCTAATAACTGGATCCTCATGTTTTAGGACTCCTTCTTAATGATTCAAAAAGGTAACCCCAAATATGTTAATTAATTAGGGCAGCCGATATTTTAGGGCAGTGGTGGACTGCGCTCAGTAATTGCCTCAATTATAACACACACCCCTAACAGTACGCTGCTAGTTGGTTACGTTTCTTGGTATATCTCTCTTCTCGCTGACAAGTGAGGGGTGCAATTTATAAAAATCAAGCACGAACTTGGCGATAAGCTTCTATTAGGCCAAGAAATATATCAAAATATATTATGCCAAGTTACTAAGTTCGAGATATTGCAGACTGGATTAGATTTATAATTAGAATATAATACATTTATTGATAGCATTGCATCTATCATTACAATTTTATTATCTTTATGGGTAAGTGAACTTACAAATGTGCAGAATTATAGATTTTGGAATTAAAGAAAGGGTGAACTTATCCATTTGCGAACGTTGTGTTACTCTCCTTTCAACTTTTGATTTATTGTGAATAAAAAAATTTGATTGGGACACATTTAAACGCATTACTTTGTTTTAATATAGTACTCAGTGTTTTGTAGTTAAAATTTAGAAACAGTTTCAATCAGGAGATTGCTTAAGAGTAAGAATGAAATAATTTTTAAAAATTTTACAAAACAACTCCTTTATGGTTTTACTCCATGAAGTAAAAATTTGAATATTGAGTGCAACTTTCTAATTTTGGGAAAAACGAGTTAATATAATTTCTGATATTATGACATTTTATAAAATTTTATCTTAAAATTTATTGGTTAACAACAAATTACACACAAATTAACAAATAACAACAACGTTAACATTAACGTTAACAACAAATTTGTAATTTGTTGTTAAAATTTGTTGCAAAATTTTTTTATTAACTCTAAAAATAAAGATGAAAAGTGGAATAATATAAAAATATCAAATAAGTTACCAACTTTTATTTTTTTAAAAATAATTTATAAGAAATTCTTTTAACGCCTTTTATGACCAAAGTTATATTTAAAAAAAAAAACATGTACTTGGAAAATTAACTGAGACTATATCGACTCGACTCTCATAAGTTAGAAAGTTACACTCAGTATTTTAAGTTTTACTTTTCCTAACATAACCTTAGCAAAGTTGTTCTTTAAAACTATTTTATTTTATAGCATATATAAGGATTTTTATCAAGTGATTGAAGAATCTGCCTTTAAAAAAATTTTCCAATATTTTCTTCTTTTTTTAAATTTGGAATTGACAGCAAAACTCGATTATGAGATCATATTTGTATTGCATATAACTATAGAGTAAAGCTTATATTAATCTGCTGATCGACTCAATTATCAACTTAGTAGATAAAAAAGATAAAGATAGAGGCTTTTTTTATTAGCTTTCAAATTAGTTAAATAGTATTAAGTTATACTTATTACAAAAAAGTTATAAAAGATGATTTCCTAACAATTAATTCTTGCCTAGAATTGAGCGATAATTTTAATTTTGTTTATTGATCGGAGTCAAGTTTACGGGAAAATCCGGAATCAAAGTTGGATTCGAACAATTCAACAGACTCCCCAGCTCTATTCAATACTACAAAATCAAATTTAAATAAAAGACTTGTACCGACATTTTTTTTTTACTTATAGTCCTTGCCGATGGCTTTATGCTATTAGATTTGGACCATAATACAATAGTACATATTGAAAACAGCACCAATTGACATAATACCAGTAGAGCTAATTACCAAATTTAATTAAGCATTATAACTGACAATTATACATAGCAATTTGCTTATGGCTTCTATTAAGGAATCAGAATCTTTTCTCTATTTATTTTGCTTTATTGAAGGTATCTTATTTTTATTTCAATTACGGTTGTTGATCTTAAATCATTTAGCTCTATGGAAACGCGTTTTAAAGCCATTATTATAAACAAAATAATCTTGTGGTTTCAGATAGCTTTAAAAAGACTAAATCAGTGACGTATTACCGATTCACATGCTGTCCGCAGTGATGACTGAGTTTGTAAAAAATAATTAAGGATTAAAGAATGTGCAATATAATCATAAACAGAATCGTCTGCAGTTTCAGTTATGACAATGACTAATCTTAAACTAATGCGAAAAAATAATTTTTCAAACATCTCTCCCGAACTGACTGATAAAATTTTTTAAATGATTTTTAGAATAGGGGGTTAAAATTGTTTTTTGTATCGGATGTCCAAGTGTCAGAACTCCTGCACCAGCAACATAGCGTTCCGCGACAAGGTCAGAGAAAAATACTGAGTCAACTCAAAAGAAAAGTTGAAAATAACTAATTGCCCTTTGGGAAGAATTTCAATGCTTCTCATCCCAATATATTTGTTTTTATAGAAGTTTTGAAAAATGTTCTGATAGACGTGTACATTTCACGAAATAGTGTATCGGAAAACAAACGAATTTCCAATACTTCTTACCGATAAAGATCGGAAATTGTTGAGAGACTAATGACTAATCTCGCCACAGGTGTAATTTCAAGAGTACACTTTTTAGAATGCATCTCTTATTATTGTGGGATTTAAATGTTACCATTGTCAGTAGTTCTAACATTTTTTTTTCTTTCTCAGAAATTTTAAACATTCTGTAACATATTTACAATTTCTGATTTATTAAAATTACTTCATTTTGTTTATTCATTCATTTGTTTAGCACTAAATTGTTTTTAGAACAAAATATTTGTATGTAAGTAATATAATTGTAAATTAAATAAATGTTAAGCAGTGTAGAAATTATTTAATAATCTGTTTTCATATTTGTTATTAGATATAATTATACAGTTAAAATATGGTCTCAGCCTGGTCTCAGAAATTAACTACATAAGTCTAATAATGATATTTCGAATAGTTTTGACTTTGCATAACTTTATTTTGATTTCATAAATATGAAATTGTAGTTACTAGATTCCATCCCGTTGTAGGAAGTTTGCTATTGTTTACGCTCGATTTACCAGCCATATCAATGAACAAATGTGCAATTGAACTAGAACGTGTTTATAGGGTTAAATACTTTATTTAAACGTTAAACGAACTATTTTATGCAAATTTAGAAACTTACTCTTTCTTTTTTCTTTTTTTTCCCTCGTATTTATATATAGATATTTTTATTTCCCGATTTTCTCACTAATTTAGCAAAGAACATTATTTATGCCATCAATTAATGGATACTTTCCTATTGAATTGACATAATACAATTTTTTTTTCAATAAGAAGAGGTTTCCTCATACGGCACCTTGCTACTTATTTCAAAAATCTTCTCAACATTTTTTATTTAACTATAAATTTAGGGTAAAGTGCATAGATTTTTATGAAAGTAAAATCATTAATTTAAATATTTTCGTGTAAAATTGAGTGTTTGTTTTATTTATAGGAGTAAGTTAGTTACATTTAACAGCTTTAAGAAGAAAAAAAATTGTATAAATTTTGTTAACTTATCCTGGCATGTATAACAATGGCTTAAAAAATTAATGCTCAAATATTTTTCCAAATATTCTAAATATATATATATATATATATATATATATATATATACACTGAGTGGCCAAATTATTATGACCACCTCAGAGTTTTATGCAAATGAGTTATTGCGTCACAGGGCTGCCGCTGGAGGGCAAGATAACTATAACACGGAAATGCTGGACAAGTGAGTCATCAGTTATACTGTGTTGCTCGCTCAGATATGGGAAAGGAAAGTGATTTAACTGAATTTCAACGTGGAATGTTTGTGGATGCGAGATGTGTCGGAACGAGTATCAGCAAAACGGCTGCACTTGTGCAGTGTTCTAGAGCAGCAGTTAATGTGTACAAAGAATGGACAA